CCCATCACTACACTGCACCCCTAGTAGTTCAGCTAATGGGTTTTGGAGGCACCATGCTATAGACAGAGATGGGAGAATTTTAAGGATCTATCAGTGAACTCAACATAACAGTAACTTCAAAAAATAAAAAGGTTTTGATAGAGGTTTTGTTAATTCGGTTTTGGGTTGGGTTTTTTTTTTTGCTTTGTTTTTTTTTATTTGTTTTCCTGGCAAGATGATGCACCCCGGTTATTTGCGTACTCCTTTCTGAAACCAGAATGTCAGAAGTACAACATGTTCCCTGAACTTGCTGGAATAAATATTATACATGGCCCCCTCTGGAGCATTTTCATTAGCGTGCTTCTCTGCTCTCAGTGCATGTAACTTACTACATAATTCATCTAAAAAGCCCATAGAAAGCAGCCCCTCTAGGGATGGCAGGCATCCTTGGAGGACTCTAGGTCCAAACAGTGTTGCGTAGATTGTGGCTGTCTCTAAAAGTTCATGTTCCCAATATAGTTACTATATGGGCATATCTTTATTGAATATATTTGTTTGCTATCCTTGCTGTCTGTGGGTGGGAATATACTAGAGACTATTCCAGATTAGACTGATGTTTGTTCTGGACATATATGAGTTAGTAAAAAGTGATCCTCTGGAGATATATTCAGAGTGAACCCTAACATACGCCAATCACTGGGTGCAACCTGAAATGTACAGAGTACAACAAGAGGCAGGTTTGGCTTCTGTAGCAATTTCTCCAGGGTACAATACAGTGTTACCCAGGCATAGCCAAGTTAAGTCTGAACAAGCTAGTTTGCACAACATCACAGCAGTGCTCCCATAGTGCTAGCTACCTTGGCTTCCAGCATCTCGGCTATCTCAGCTGAGATGGGGCTGTGTATTTCTGAACCCCACTGTATTGTGCTGTGCAATACTCCTTGTCAGCTGCCCACACGAGCACACACAGACACACCACCATTGTGGCCTGGACAATTATCTGAAGCTCTTACATGTTCAGAGGTGCAGGGTCACACTGTTGCACAAAGGTTAGTCTCCTGCTTCTTTTGTTCTTTCATGGTTGGTTTCAGTCTTACTGCTAGAACCAAGTTCTTTATGAAACTGATTCTTTTATAGACCTCAAGCAGAGTCTTACCTGAAAACAGATCTAGCCCTTTAAGTTTGTACCTGATCTTTTCCCAAAAGAGAATGTGCTGCAACATAGACCTTTCACCTACTGCTTCCTCTCTGTCATGAAGGTGCATTTCACTATGCTTGGTTATAACCAGAACTGGCATTTAATTTTTTTGGCAGATTTGGAGGGGGATAGTGCATGATAATAGAGTCTTTGGTCTTTTTAATGGTGTGTTCACCATTTGAAACCTGTGTGCTCACGAGAGATGAGGTGACAGTGGATAGCTTTGCCTAGGCAACACTGGTTTTATTCTCTCCTTTAGTAAATGACAGTGTTAGAAGTGGCAGCAATACAAAATCTCATTATGCTCTATTGAACTAAAAAGCAATATTTTCAGAATAATATTTTGTGAACTAACAAGTATTACAAGGCATTTCCTAGGAGCAGAACTAGGTAGCACGTAAATACTGAAGCAGTGTGCATACGAATGTACGCCAGTGTGAACTGTTTAACTTTGCCTTTCCTTTAGGTTTCATTTCAAACAAAGTAGGATTTTTGTGTTTTTTCAGAGTATTTCATTCCATCACACAAAGGAAAAAAGCCTCCATGTTGTCTTTGACAGTATTCTGTCATAATAGTCCAAAACTCTTTTGGAGATTTATTTATGTAACTTTACAGTACTTTGAACCAGTAGAGGAAGACACAGCAGTTTTAAGAAGAGCAAATAGCATTGCTTTAGTTAGCATTCAGCAAGTGCTCTTTTCTGGGAAGGAATATGGCAGAATTGCAATACAGGGAGAAAAAGTCTTGCGTTGATCACTGAAAGTAATGGATCATTGAACTCCTGCATTAATCTGCCCTCTGGTGTCTATACATTATAAAAATTCAAGCATGTTGCAGATTGCCTGCCTACCATACAACTAGAAAGTAAAAGATTTACAGGGTAAATTACTATTGACATACACCAGGTCATTGAGACTGAACAAAAATTGCTGTATTCAGCTTACTGCAAACATCAGCTTTGCCTTTTCATGTCTTCAATCTTCCTGAGGCTAAACTTCTTTACAAGGACAATGGTTTGTGTTTTGGATTAATCAGAAGCCTTGGTCATTTGAAAGGTCATGTATGCAAGGAATAGCAAAATCTCTTTTTTAAATGACCTGTGTGTTGGCTTTTGTGGAGAATTGTGGGAATCAAAATCTATAGAAGCCATTAGTGGAAATGTATGTCTGAAAGAAAATATAACAGTGATAAGCCTATTATATTCTTTGAATCCAAGCTCCTACTGATGTGGGGTTGGATAGGGATACATTTGACTGATTTTCAGAGTCAGTCAGTTGTATTTTTGCACCACAGTCTTTTGCAAAACATAAGCCTTTGGAATTGTTACCAAGGACAAGATCTCTTCTATTTTTGCTTAAAAAATTCTTTATAACTAGAAGATGAGACATAAGCAAACCAGACAAAAAAGTCTAAGAATAAAATAAGTCGCTTTGGTAATGAGAAGCATTTGAATGCACAGGTTCGTAGTTCATAGAATGAAGAATTATGTCTGGCTGCAGTAAAATGAAGGGGGTTACATTCTTAAGCAAAGAAACTCACGTAAGGCTCGGAGCAAAAGTCTGCAAAACAAGGCTCAATGAATTCTCTTTACACTGGTGTGATGATATTTCTCCAGGTTGTATTTCTTCATTCATCAATTTCTTGTACTTCACCTTTGCAGAATATGCAAGTAATTCCTTCTGTAAAGCTTAATATTTTTACTGTATATTTTGCTTTTGAAATGTCTTAAAAAAAATGGGAACAAACTGACCCCCAACTCATAACTGTTCAAAGCTAAGCTCCTTTAGAGTCCTTACACGGACTAACATCCTCTGACGTTTGAGCTACTAGTATTTGCAAAGTTGCTATGGTGACAAATGTAGTTCTGGTTAAAAAAAAAATAATAATTCTATTTTGCTTAACCACAAATTCCAGAAGAACTCAGCATGGTTCCAAAAGAACATTTCTGCCAAAATGAATGCACGGTGGCCTTTTTTCTGAGCAATTGTATCTTTAGTAAAATGTAAGTGTACAGGGAAGTCTGACCTCTGCTTTGGTCACAGTACCTTATGATCGCCTACTCAAATTAATATAAAACAGATTTAAAATAGCACAGTATCCATTTCTTGAAGGAAAGATCAGCGCAGGCCCAAGGGAACAATCTGTAGCACAAAATGCCTGGCGCTTGCTTGAGCTTCTTTTTGGTCATTCTGATGAAGTAAAACAACCCTAAAGGCAGTGCGATCCCTCCCCTTAAATTCCTCTGCCTGGCACTGCAAACCGATCACACATGGCTAAAAGGTGCTTTGACTCATGCAGGGGGGCCTGTGGGCAATGGCATTGGACCCAGAGTGACAAAGATAGCTGTAGCAGGTTTTGCCTATGTCCATCCCTCTGGTCTTGTAATAAGCAAAGCCAGCTGGGAAGATTTGATCCATTTTCTGTCTTTCACTAGAAATGGTTGTCGGACTACATCATGATTTTTTTTGTGCATGAAATATTTTGCAGACAAGGATCTGAATATGTAGAGATAATGGCTGTTATGACAAGGGGTCACTAGTGAACTTAGCACCCACACAGACCAGCTTCCAAAACACTTAGGATTTTTGAAACACAAACAGATTTTTGAAGCTATTTCATCTTTTCTCACAGAGACCCAGAGCCCTGATACACAACAGGATTCCCTTCCAGGGCTCCCTCTCCTAAATGTATAGTTAGGCAGGTTAGTTTCTATTTCAGTGCAGTTTTCCTAAGCACCCTGTATTATTCGGGAGGGGCAGCGGGGGAGAGAGAGAGAGATGCTCTACATCTTTTTCTCTCTCCATTGACCATCTGGGGACAGAAGATGTATTAATATCCTACCAAGCACTTGACTCAGAGCCTAAAGCCAGACATAGTCACAAGTCCAAGGCAAAGGGTAAGTGCTTATAGTAAGCTTGCTGCACCCTGCGTTACCTTCAAGGGCAGGTAATGCTGTCAGTTAGAAGGTGGTGGCCAGCAGCATCACTCATGGCTGAGCCTGGAGCCAGAACGTGGAGCTTTTCTTCCTACAGAGCAGGTCTGAGTATCAGCAACTGAGAGGTGGTACGAGTGTGCTCCTAAATTGCCCATTAGCTGCATCACATTCAAAGCGCAGAAAAGAGCTTTGTAGGGTAAGCTGTTTCACGACCAGTACTCAAGGTCCCATGGTGTTTCAAGGCCTCAGATACTCCAATTCAGCTGTAGTCATGGTTAGGGCTTGTATAATTTAAATGGAAGGTAAATCAAAGTTCAAACTCAGCCCCTGTCCATGGCTTAATGCACAATGTAAATGTTGCTGTCGTCCTGGTAGGTCAAAGAGCTATAGTGCAACGTGCTGGAGAGAAACAACAGAAGGAAGACAGAATGGCTCTGAAGTTTTGCTGATAAATTTAGATCCTGATTTTAAAAGGTTAAAGACAAGAAATGAAATCAATAAGTATTGATTTTGTTTCAAAGCTCTGGTTTTAGATTATAAAGTTTGCATTAAAATGGGAAAGTACTTTTTTTAATTGTGTAGGAGAAAGTGTCACCACTTCTTTCTAAAAATATAGGAAGAATGTTGATGCCAGGAGAAAATATTGAAAGATTGTCTTGTTTTAACAAGCAAAAGTAAAACTTGTGTTGATATTATTCCTGTAATAATAATTCCTGACAGATAATCCTTAGTTTATTTGAAATCCAGAATTAAACAGAATCGTGTTACCCTAGATGTCAAAATCAGTATTGTCTTTTTTGGCTTGTTAGAATTCTGTTTGAAATTGATTTAAGGGGAATTTGCTTTGCTTTGACTTCTCTCTCTCTCTCTCTCTGTCTCTCTTTTAAGGTCAACTCAAATCAAAACATACTCTTGGGATAATGCCCAGGTTATTTTGGTCGGTAACAAATGTGACATGGAGGATGAACGGGTAATCTTCACTGAGAGAGGCAAACATTTAGCAGAGCAACTTGGTAAGAAAAGAAATTACAAAAGCTTTATGTTTGCTTGTGAGAATGCACAAAGTAATGTCATTAATTGCCACAGTACTTGTAATGAAATATTCGTGATACATTCACTGTAAAGGAATAGTCTTACACCGCCTCCCTTTTGTTTCTGCAATCTGAGGTCTGAACTGCCCTTGTTGATATCACTAATACTGTAACATCATTAGAATGGACATGTGTCCAGGAATGACCTTATGCAGAACTGTGACGTCTGTCATCTAAAAGTGTCCACAAGACCAGTGCTGGCTCAGAGGCTGGCTTAGACTAAAGACGTATCTGATAAAACATTCTTTATGCTGCTCCTTAGATAGGAAGTACATTATGGCCTTTGTGATAAACAGCAAGATTATACAATATTTTTAGATAGTTATAGCTATAGGCAGATACCTCCTAGCCAGGGAAAAAATTTTAAAAAACACCAACAATCAACAAAAAACCAAGCAGACGAGAGGAGAGGTTGAAGAAACAGCTAACTCAAAATATGAACTAGACTTTTTTGCAAGTTGAGAACATTTAGGTTATGATTTCCATTACCAATAATCCAAAACAGAAAGACACCAATATCCAACTCCCACTGATAACGGTTCATCTACTGCACATTTACATAGGTGTAAATAACATGAACCTCTGTTTCATAAAGTCTCCCTCTAGGAGGCAAATATTGTCCACATAGAAAATTATGGAGCTGTGAACATCTCTGTTCTTTCTGTTTCTGCCCAGCAGTGATACCCTTTCATACCATGAAATGTTTTTAAGGTGGCACTGGCCAAATTGTAATGGAAAATCTCCAGAGCATCATCATCATACTACCACCCGGCCTGTTTTTTTCCTTCAAATTTGCTGATCTCTGGAAAGCATGCTCAGCTGGTGCACAAATCAAACCCTGGCATCACTGGAGGTCAATTTCTGTGCTGTACTGGGCATGGGTTTGTTATTATTTTTAAAACTGACTGTGGTAAAGGCTCAGTCTGGTGAACATGTGTGTGACTAAGATCTCCTTGTCACTCTTCCTATATAGGTGTTCAGGGGAAAGGGTGTTTTAAGAGTAACTGCATGGGAAACAAAGAGAAATGATGGCATTTCACAGTACACCACCTGTGCTGGATCTAATCCCATGCTGGCGGTTCTTAACTTATGTATATTCATAGCTCGCTGATCTTATTTTTTTAAATAATTTTTCTAGTTGTACAATTGCTTATCCTGGTAAATAATTTCATCAGAATAATATATCTTCCTGTCACATCTAAGTAAGCATTACATGTGTGTAAAAGCATACCTCAAAAGTATACATTAAAAATGACCATGAATTAGTCCTTGAAAGGTGACAGAAAAGATTTAACAGCAGGTTATGTCCAGAAAAATTGCCAACATTTGTGAAGAACTGAGTTTCTAAAACTGTTTGCAATAAAACCAAAATGGTTACCATTGCACCTGCTTTAACAGAGGATATTTTTCTTTGCAGAAATACCTGTCACATTATATATATTTCTATAATCTCTTCTTCCCTCTGTAAGCATTTCTAATATTTTTTTCATTTTAATAGGAGCTAGGAAAGTATATTCAATGGAGGAAGAGATTAAAAAAATGCAACTGTATACTTTTACCCCAAATTTAGATCAGGCACTAAAATGTCTGGCGATGAACATAAATCTGCAATGTAGAGTTTCAAGATTTTTTTTCAAGTCACATAACTAATCTGAATTTCTATTCCTTGAACTATTTTCCTATAGAAAGATTAATGCAGTGAGTTGACAAGGAATCCCCAAGGTCATGAATTTAGCGAGATGAAAAGGAACTTTGCGTGTTGTACAGTCAAGAATCCTCAGCTGTAATAACCAATGCTTGCAAAAAAAAAAAAAAGAGTAATGAGATAGATATCAAAACTCATGTTGCTTTAAAGCAAACTCAGATTCCTGGGATTTAGAAATCAATCTTTATGGAAACAGATTATCCTCTGTTCCCATCTTTATCTACTCTGGGGTTTTACTTTCTCAGGTATACATCCTGTGGCTGTCTGGCAGATTATTGTATTGCCTGGCAGATTATTGTATTGGATAAATTGTGGCTCTGATCCCGTATGTCATTTACTGGACTCAGACTGCACACACAAACGTTTATATGTTTCCTGTACGGCTGTAAACATTTCTTAAATCTGCTCAGAGATTGTGGGAGGTGGTGTCAGGAAAAGCAGAAGAACGAGTTTCCCTGAATTGTAGTAAGTGCTCTGGCCATGTTGGCCAGTTTGAAGGGCACGTGTTGTGTCAAACACTTGGGACTGTCTTTTCTTTCTCTGCCAGTGAGTTGATAACATCTCTTGCGGGCAAGTTTTAAAAATAACAATATAGATTTTTGTGTCCAGCAAGACATTTGAAGACTGTGGGTCCTTTGAATGCCACGGTCTGCAACGTTTACAAGCCACAATTACAAGCAAGCACAACGCATGAGTGCTGTACGAAGAACATATTGTGAAACACTCTGTTCTCAAGTGTGGTTTTATTTTCAGCTCTGGTTTATTTGAAGTCACTGAGAAAATGAATACATGTACATTTTGGGCTGGGTTTTCAGAAGGTCAAAAAGAGCGCTAGGCATTTAACCCTCCGGGAAACATGGTGTCCTGTTGAGAACAGCGTTACCGGAAAATTGTGCCTCTTTTGTGGCTGCTGACCTCTTTGAAAAGTGTAGCCGTCAATTTTATTAATGAATGAGGTGTAATCAATCATTTCTTTAAATCTCAGTGCTGGCTTATTTCTCAAGTGTAACCCAAACAAGTGGTTTAGATCAACCAGCAATAGGCCTCGTTACCTGCAAAGGTCTGGCTAAACTAGTCAAGCATCCTGTGGTAGCTCTGAGTATCTCTTTCATAACACTAATGGAAGTTCACAAAAGAGAGAAGGAATGGTTAACAAAACCAGATCTGACCTTGAAGGGAAATAACAGAATGTTTATGAAGACAGAATTTGTCTCATTTCCATTTTAGATTTTTTTAAAGTTTGTTGTTAATGACATAGGGCATGAAACTGGCGACAGATCATAGCAGCAAGCAGCATACTACCTTACCTATGGTAATGGCCAGAAGTGCCTTCTGAAAGCTATAAAAGGGCAAACATACAGTGATACTTTCCCAGATTGTAGCAAATTATATTCGTGGGTCTTATGAACCAAAGGCAGTATCTTCATATTCAATAACCCTTTCACGATTTTTTTCCATGGCCTTGTCCAATGATGTCTTTGAAACCATATAAAATCTTACTATCCACAACATCCTTTAAATATGTGCAGTTTATCTGAGTTTTCTGCTTTGAATTGATGACCATTTGCTAGTTTTATTTGATGTTTCTTCACTGTTATATTCTGAGAAACAGTGAACAATTGTTTGCTGTTACCTGCTCTGTAACACTGTTGGTTTCAGAGACCTCTATCATACCTCTCCTTTTTCTCCAGGCTGAAATTCCCAGACTATTTCATCATTCCAGACACAAAGACCATCTCACACCTTAGCCATTCCTTGTCACCCTATTCAGTAATTTTTGTAAGTGGTACAGCCTTTTTTCAGAAATTAGTTCATGGTTGTTTAACATAATAGCATCATTAAAAGAGTAATGTTAGAAGGAGGTGAAAACAGACAGGATCAAATAAATTCAGTTTAGTCATGTAACTTTACCTCACAGAGATATCATACTGAGAAAATATAGAAACATGACAAACCAGACAGTAGAGAGAACTAACGTAATGTTAATATTGACACAGGAATCACAGCAAACACATTTAAACAAGTTTATTCACTAATCACTGCAAAAAAAGGGGTGTGGAACATAACATTTATGCTATTTTGTCTCTTCATGAATGTTTGTTCTCAGCATTACATGCATCGGCTATTGAGTGAAGTCCCAATATTGTCAGCACTTACATGCTTTAAAGCATTTTAGTAAAAAGTGCTTGGAACTCCTTGCAAGCAAAATGCATGCACGCTTGCCAGCTGCATTACTCACTCTTTTGACATATTCATCTAATGCATCTCAGCTGAGTTCAAAGCTTCATGTGTTCATGAAAGTTTGGTGTCACTTGTCAGAATAGAAATAAAAAGAATGACTCACAGATGGCATGAATTTCTTGGTTCCTTTTATTCGTGGTCTCTATGATATATTGTGATTTACATTCTGGCAAAGGACTAGCAGGCAGAGGTTTGCACAGAGCTTTGAATAGATTGAGTAACTGCACATGCAAATGGACAGTTGCATATATAGCGACGTACAGCATACGCAATGGCATACAGTTTCTCCATTTATTTATGACATTTTGCTGTGCATGCAAATTAGGTACATAATTTTATATGTGTTCTTGGGTTGCTCATGTGCTTCTGTACAATTCCTATTTGTTATGTGTGTGCTACACATTACTTCAACACTCATTAGTTTTTAATTGCAAATACTGCCATTACAGAGTATATTACATCTTTAAGACCAGAGCCCCTAAGGTTGCTGCAAAAGTACAATTCTACCATAGGTCCAAACTATGCCTATTGCGCTCATGCTGCACCAGCTACTAGGAGGGGTACTGCAAGATCTGCCCCAAATGTCTGGCTACCTTTTCTGTAAGGTCCTGTTCGTCCTGTCCCACCTTTTTAGCTCAGGTTGGTTAAGGCTCTGGGAAATGGAGCTGTTGTATCATAAAAATGTTAGCTGGAAGGGACCTCTGGTGACCATCTAGTGTGATGTCCCACTAAAATCTACTCTGGCTCTATGTTCTGTCCAGCAGTTTTCAGGGCAGTGCCCTTCCCATCAGATTTTCTGTGCCTTCACATTTCTTACACTCTGCCACCCGGGGTCACTCGTGGCTGGGGGCGTCCAGCACATCCAAGCATGGCTTAGGGTACACTCACCTGCTTTCTAAGTGTATCCTGGCACACTGTCTCTCCCAGAGGCCACCAACCAATGTCAGAAAACAAAAGGAAACAGGCCTTTTCTGGG